TACTGGGAGGTGGAGTGCAGAGGAAGAGTTGAATAGCTGCGACTTACAGGAGAATCAGCAGGAGAGGAAACAGGAAAGACTGTTTGTTTGGAGACAATGATCAGTCCTGGAGTCTGAGCTGCTTTGGTGCTGCGTACTCTGTCTGTCAGTATAACAGAGAAATATTCATCTCCTCCCTCCGCGATAACCTCCCATTCCTCCTCCTCTTCCTCCTCTTCCTCATGGTTGTCTTTAATTCCCTTGTTAGTTTCACCCTCTTCTTCCTCATTCTCGTCCTCCTCCTCCCCCCGCCCTCCCCCCCCTCCTCTAACAGAGTAGCAGTGTATGTGGACTGTCCTGCTGGCACTCTGTCCTTCTACAGAGTCTTCTGTAACAGACTGACCCACCTCCACACCTTCAACACCACGTTCACTGAACCTGTTTATCCTGGCTTTAGGCTCTGGTCACCTGGTTCCTCAGTGTCTCTGTGTTCTCTGTAGGTCAGAAACACTGCTGACTGAAGATCAGCACTCACAGTGTGTCTCAGACTCAAACGCATCGTCACTTTGATTATCAACATTTTACCAGTGTAACCAGAAACACGCTGCTCTGTTTGTTTGTTGTTTTGTACCTTTCAAATGGAAAAGAGAAGAGAGAAAAAGTGCTGCTGATAATGAAGCTGAGCGCAGTAAAGAATCACCTGATGAAACCTTTGTAAGGCACAAAACCAGTACAAAGTGAACAGCTCTGCAATAAAACGGGAAACAAACACATTGGCAGGCGAAATGTTTTATTTCAAAAACTGAAGCTGCTGCTGAGATGGAAGTCACACGATCTGTTTAATGTGGAGGTAAAAACAAAAAGCTCTAATACTGTAAGAAGCTCTGCAGTCAGCTGACAATTCCAAACCAACTGCCTTCTGGGAAACTGAGTCCAGACAGAGTTGAGGCCTCAGTCGTCTCCTCCGCACAGACTGAGCAGAGCCTTCTGGTAGTCTCCTTTAGTGTGCTCCTGAATAACAAAGACATAATAATATTGTCATCAATAAAACTTTATGAACAAAGCAAAAATAAATAAAAGCGAGTTGACTCGACTTATTTCTTTTCTTTAATTTTAGTTAATGTCATTCTCCTGATTGTTTTGGCTGACTGACTAATAGCTGATTATAAACAGCATAAAAATGATTATTTTTAAATGTAATTGTTGTTTTTCAGTCTCAGTGAAAGTACCCGAAGTGAATTTACACACACACAGTGACCGGTACTCACAGCGATGGTCTGGTACAGGGATCTTTTGTGCTGCTTCTTGAACTCTGTTCTGATCTTCATCAGGTCGATCTCGCAGCGGGAAACCATGATCCTGGTCACCACCTTCTCCTTCGCGCCTTTACTCTGCAGAGAGGCGGAAAAATAAATAAGATGGGGGACGACATTCTGACGTCAGAGCAGACTGACTGAAAGCTGAGCCTGAAGCTGTCTGCTCGTCCCAGAGTTCCCAGCGCTCAGGTGTTAACATGTTGTTATAACTGAGAGACATTAGGGACAAAACCAGCGGTGGAAGAAGTGTCTTTTACTTGAGGAAAAATACCAGAAATACCAGAGTAGAAATACTGTGTATGTAAGTATTAGCATCAACATATACTTAAAGTACCAAAAGTAAAAGTAAACATTTCAGAATAGTATATATTATATGATCAAATAGTAATTATTGATGCAATAATGTGTTCATCACTGTAATGTTAGAGCTCCTTTGTACATATATATATATACACACACACACACAGGATATTACGTTATATACTGCTGGCTAGCCTGTGAATCTTACCCTGTGATCATTCACGTCTTGACATAATTGATGTAAAAAAACCCAATAATTTATTTGTTGATTATATTTTGAATTATTAATCTGAATCTGGACAGTAATTTCAGTTATCAAATAAATTTAGTGCCGTTAAAAGTACAATAGTTCCCTGTAAAATGAAATGAAGTTGAGGTATAAAGTAAAATGGAAGTGCCTCACCGTAAAAAAAGATGGCTATCCATATTGTTGTACATGTGACAATGACAGCAAAGGCATTATATATCTAGTCTCTCTACCTCAAAACTGCTTTATGTACAGTACTTAGTTACTTTCCACCACTGGACAAAACTTTGCTAATGTACCTTCATGGCTTCGCTGAGTCTGTTGGCGAAGTACAGCTGCCGGTTTTCAAAGCACTCCACTGTGAAGAGAAGACAGACAGACGTTGAATTAACCTCCTGACGTCTTCACCAGCTGTTCTGCTGTTCCACTGCTGTTGCACGGCTGCAGCATGCGTGCAGGAGATGAGAACTGTGGTACTGATGGTACCGACGTGCTGTTTGTTACCCAGAGTGAGGAAGGACTTCTCCAGGTCTCCCTTCACCTCCTTCCTGATGCTCTCCTTCATGTCGTACGGACTGTAGCTCTTATACCTCTCAAACACTGAAACGCATCAAAGGGGAGAACATGTCAAACTTAAAGCGCGGTACACTGTCTATAGAGAAGCATTTTTATTACCACCGTCTCTCCCTAACCTTAACCAGTATTGTAGCGGCTCTGCACAGATACAGAATTTAAAAAGGCTGTCACTGAATGTAAAATCATGTGGCTGGGGACATAAAAAACGTTGAAACTGAATATAACAAGCGTTGCCATTGGATATTAAAAAGGTATTGTCACGGTTTTGGTCTAAGTTCAGTCCTTTTCCTGTTTTCTTTTGAAGTTGTCTGTGTCTTATGTTCGCATCCTGTTTCCTGTCTGCCCTGATTCCTAATGTGCCCCACCTGTGGTTAATTACCCTGCCTGCTGGGTGGTGTGCCGCAGTATTTATTGTGATGCATTATGGGTTTGTGTTTCACTCCGGCCTGTCTGTTTGGATTATTGTTGCATTTTTTGCTGGTGGATTTTCCTTTGTTGCCCGGTTGCATTTTGGATTTCTTGGTTTTGTTGGACTGTGCACACTGTTTGGAATTATTTTGGACTTTGTCGCGCTCCATAAGCGTGTACAACTTATTTTTTTTCTTTCATTAGTAAATGTAAAAAACTCATAGCTCAGGGGAAAGAGCGGTCTTCCACTGATCAGAAGGTCGGTGGCTCGATCCCCAGTCTGCATGTCGAAGTATACTTGAGCGAGATACTTTGTACCCTAATTGTTGCATGTGTATGAATGTGTATGGCATCAGTGTGTGAATGGGTGAATGTGGGCGCATAAAAGTGCTTTGAGTCTTCCAGAAGGCGCTATACGAGTATTTAATGTAAACAACATACCATTGAATTTCCAAAAAACACTGCCAGCGGATGGAAGAGTTCAAAGTGAATGTTAAAACTCAGTTGAAAATCTATGATTTTGCAGAATCGTCACATCAGCTGGCGTGTGTGTGTGTGTGTGTGTGTTGCAGGTGTAGTTCACCTTTCTGCAGATGGGGGACGCTCCTCTGAGACATGATGGCGATCCAGGTCGCCACGTCGGTCCCCTTCCTCTTCACCCCGGCTTCGTACAGACTCTAAGAGGTTCACACGTGAGAATAGAAGATGGCTTAAAATCACTTAATACAACTTATCTATTGCTGAGTGTTATTCCGTGAAACAAATTCACACCCAGGGGAACGGCACCACAATGTTTGGCTTTTTTAGAAATCACAAATCTTTTGAAGAATTTTTTAAAGTAAAAAACTTCTGATTTTACTCACTCTGGCGTCGTCGTCAATCTTCTCATAGTCAACCACATTAGAGGGTTCATCTCTCTTTGTCTGTAGATCAAAAAACATTCATGTCAGTGTGAAACATTTCAAATTAAAAGGTGCAACAGTAGAACTCTACAGCAGCAACGTCTGCTCAGAGCACAGTGACAAACTCAAATAAATGCAATGTGTTCATGGCAAAGGCTTTAACCTAAAAATCTATATATATATATATATATATATATATATATATATATATATATATATATATATTCACTCTGGTATCAAACTGTATCTGCAAATATAGCTATCACAAAAAGCAAGAACGTTAGTAGCAAAATCAATAAAATGCAAAACTTATCGCTTATGTTAAAGAGGAGCAACAGTCTTATTTTGTTAAACCTTTCCTCTTGTGTCTTTGTGAACTTTTCTTCTTGCGCTGTGTTTTTCCTTGTTAGTTATTCATTTGTTCCCCTTCGTCTTATGTGTGGTGTCTTTAACTGCTGCTCTTTGTTTCCTCCTCCTCTGTTTTTGATTACTTGCTTCCTGTTTTACTTTGGAATTTTCCTCATCTCATTTCGGTTCACTTCACTTCCCCCTTGTGTGATTGTTTGCTCCTCCCTAATTAAGTTCACCTGTGTCTCATTATGGTGTCCTCACTACAGTATTTAAGTGGTCCCGGTCTCTGCCAGTTCATCAGTGTCTTTTCACTTGTGTTCTAGCAGTTTTCCAAGTGTTTGTTTCCCCAGTATTTCCTGGATTGTGTTTGTTTGTCCTTCTGTTTTTGGATTGTCTGTTGTTCCTTTGCTTGTTTGTTGGACTTTGGATTTGTTTGCTAGTGTTTCCCCTGGGTTTTCAAAGTCAAGATGAGTTCATTGATTGAAGGTAAATGTACTTTTAGTTATATTCCACCACCGGGTACTTCTTGTACAGTTAGCATCAATTAGCACCAGTTAGCATCAAAGCTACCTGAACCAGAGCCAGCAGCAGTTTGGCGAAGTCTCCTGATGTGTCTCCTGCTACGTCTTTCTCCAAGTCCTTCTTAAACGCTGCACAGAAAAATAAAACACATGAACAATACTAAAATCAATTATAAGGTAAATAAATCCATAATGAAGCTAATGTTAGCCACATAAACTAGCTAATTATACGTTTGTACTTAATACTACATGATATCAGTGAGCTAACATGATAAACACCCAGCAGTTCTCAAATAGTGTCAGTTTACACAAAGGCCGCTAACTTTAGATGTAATAGCTGAGTCACTTTGTCAGGAGAAGTTATATAGATAATATTGTCCATCATGAGAAAGGTGATTTTTATTTTTTTAATTGAAACTGTAATACTAGAATCATTCTTTGATACAAAGATAAACTTCACATAGCACATTTTACTGTCAGCAGGTTTAAGTGAAAATTATACATTTTCCTTGTTTATTATGGACCAAATTCAGATTTGTTGAATATTATTGGAAAGTTATTTCCAAACATACTTTCTTTGTAAACTTTCTTGATCTCTGCCAGTTCTTCCTTGTTTCTGGAGCAGACAATCTCGATGAGGGTCTCCTCATCTGTTCCCAGTCCCTAGAAACACAAATACCAACAGGTAAGACTCCTAATTTTAACACTATTTTTTATATTTACTATTATGATTATATCGGAGCCGCCTGATACTTTTCAATCACAAAGTAGACACACCACCTCCCATGAAGCTCAGCTAGTCCTGCTAACACTTAAGTTAAATGTTTTATTAGCCAAAATTACCTTAAGTAAAACCACTGGTTCTGCAGTAAAAGTGACTGATATCTGATTCTATCTGACATTATTAGATTGTAAATAAGGATGCATCAATGTTAGGGTAGCATTTTACTGTTGTAGCTGAGGTGGAGCTAGTTTTACTACTTTATATACAGTTTGCTAGATGTACTATAGAGTTTCACTACTTTATAAATATATAGCTAGTGTTAACTGCTTTGTATATAGTTAGCTAGCGTTAGCTGCTTTTGGCTACACTTAGCTAGCGTTAGCTGCTTTTGGCTACACTTGGCTAGCGTTGGCTGCTTTTGTCCGCACTTGGCTAGCGTTGGCTGCTTTTGTCCGCACTTGGCTAGCGTTGGCTGCTTATTGGCTGCACTTGGCTAGCGTTGGCTGCTTATTGGCTGCACTTGGCTAGCGTTGGCTGCTTATTGGCTGCACTTGGCTAGCGTTGGCTGCTTTTGGCTACAGTGAGCAGATTCAGCCCAGTGGTTTCCAACCTACGGGTTGTGCCAGTCTACAGTGTCCCCAGATAAATCTGAGCGGTCGTGAGATGATTAATGAAATATATTTTCAGTGTTTGACGTTTCTCTAATCCTAAACTTATCTGTGAAATCTGGATTATTTCACAGCTTTGTTCCTTGAACAGTTATTTAAATGAAACCATGTGAGAAGGCAAATTGTCTCGAACAATTCATGGAATCTGAAACATGACAAGAAATACAAGTACCCAAAATTTTACTTGGGTACTGTACTTGAGTAAATGTACTTTAATTACATTCCTGTGGTGAGTCTGACCTTCATGGAGGCTTTGAGCTCGAAGGCGTCATACTGGGCGGTGCTCTTCATCAGACCCAACATCAGAGCCTCCAGAGAGCCAGACAGCGCCCCCTTCAGGGCTGTGACCAGATCCTGAAAAGTACAGCAGCACAAGTATTAATGAAATGTCTTTAAAAGTTACAAATGTCTTTTAAAAAACACAACATTTTTGCAGTGAAGCAGAGTGTACCAGCTGGGTAGTTATGTCACCTGCCGATTCCTGCCTACGTGTGAAATGTCTCTGAACATCATCATGTTAATGAAAGGAGAAACATTTTGAACCTTCTTTGCGAGCCGTTCATATTCGAAGGCGATCTCTCTTCGCTGCTCGTAGCTGCGTCTGGTCAGGATGTCGATGATGGTCTGTTCGTCTACACCTGCAGGATTTAATGAACAGATTTATTTTCCAGCAGGGATGTGTAAGAGACGGACGATGCTTTTCTGTTGATACAGGCTGCTTATGTCTCTCTGAAGGGCAAAGAACATATTTTCATGAAGGACTTGTTGGATCAGTTCATTTCCTATGTTGCTTTACTTCTGGCTCCCGACTTTATATCCTGACCTGAAAATAAATTAAATCAAAGCTTGTATGTCTTACATAATGACTACTCTCAACATTTTGTGGACAAAAGAACCAGTTAAACACTATTTTCTGCCTTCACCTGAACTCTGTTTTTGATCTGTTTTGCGTCTTTAACTCTATTATCAGCACCTGTCTGTTTCTTTGTTTCAGCTTTTGAAAAACGATGGAAAGTCTTAAATCTGCCGAGGGATGTCCTGCTTTTACTGCAACTCGCTCACGGGAAGCTGAGTCGGAGCAGCTGGGAAATCCTGCAGCTCTCCACACAAACAGAAAAGTCAGAACTTGGACGATCGGCCTCGCAGGTTCAATTCCCTGCAGTGGGTTTAGTGGCATCTGCAGATGAATTCCTTCAACTTTAGTCAGTTTCCAATCTGACCAGAAAACATGCTGTAATAGTTTGAACAGCTCATGCATGGACAGAAGCCAGCCAGTAACCTGATATCTGAGCTGGTTGTCCTGCAGAGAGAAACGCTGTAGAGCGTGATGCCAAAGCAACACCAGCACATAAAAACACGAGTCTAAAAGTTCCTGTAAAGAAATGTTTGTCGGGATTGTTCATCCTCTGGAGAGCAGGGACATGTTAATGACTCTTTGGAGTCATGGCATCAGATCTCAGTCCCATATCCAGACAGGAGGCAGGTGAACTGGACGTGCTCACCTTTAGTTTTGATGGCTGTCTCGATCCGGGCAGCATCTTTGTCTGGGTCGAAGTCTCGTACTGGCACCACGGTGGGGAATTTAGGCTCCGCTTCCTACAGAGGACAAAGAAAGACACGTTACCTTTCAGTCTACTGCTGTTCTCATGTATGGTGGCCCCTGTGGGGGCATAAAAACTACAGTTTGAGATGAAGAAACCTGCAAATATGAAAACCAAAAGGTGGGTTTTCCTGCTTTGTTTTAATATTTGCTGTGTTGTTGGATTGCCCTACATGTTTTGTCCTCGGGGGGGCGTGGATGAAGTACTCAGATACTTAAAAGTACCAATACAAAATGTAAGTATCAAAGTAACAGTACTCGTTCTGGTACTTTAATTACTTTGATGGTTATACTTCTGTAGAATCTGTCAAATTTTATTATGATAGTCGTTATGTCGAGACAAAGAAATGTCAGTGACAACAGTTACTGTTGACTGTGATTGGCTGAACTGTAACATTAAAGAATGTGTTTGGAGGACCTTAATACCGTCCTCTCCTGCTATATACTTTATAGCCTTATTGATTAGAAGAGGATGGAATGCTCCTGTAAACCTTCCTGGAAAAGATCTGGACTTTTTTTTTCTTCAAATAAAAGATAACAGTGAGACAAAAGTCTGCCTGTACTCAGATTTATCCACTGTTCCTGCATTTCCATCCTGTGGTTCTGAATGGATCATTGATCAGTCATCAGTGTCTGCACAACGACCTGATCTTCAGTTTATCAGCTGAACTCCGGGTGGAGAACAAACCACACCTTTATCTGCTTTATGACGGCAGTAAAACACTGCAGAGCCTTGAAACTGTGGATCCCCTCTCAGAATTGGGCTGTAAAAATACAAGAATTTGTGCATACCTGCGGTTATATAATCTAAAGATTAAAGCCAGAGCAGCGTCCTCAGATGTGGGTGAGATGGATACATTTAACCATCACATTGTTCTCCTGAAAAATATTGTCGTAGTAAGTCTGAGCCCCTCCCCTTTCCGGTCGACCACTGGGCAGCAAGCAAGCAGTTAGCTTAGCATTACAGTGCTAAACTATTGGTGACGTATATTCTGCGATACGAGAGATTCACTGAGCGGTTTCACACAAAACTAACTTACTTTAAAACTTACTTTACTGTTTTAAGACAAACTGACTTTCTTGACTTAAATTATCTTTTGAAATGAAAAACTTTGTTTGTAATTCAGGGATCAATTCAAACGGGATCTAAAATATCAGTTATCTGTCGCCGTTGGCAACCGGACGTATTTTATTCCAAAATAAGGAAAGGAAAGCGAGGGCTCTTGATTGTGTAGTACTGTGCGACGTCAGCAGGTGACTCACCCCTCCATACGACAGCGTCAGCTGACCCAGAAACTCGGACACCAGCGCCATGTTGACTCAACCTGCAGAGAGTCGAGACGGACAGTTACAGCATCAGTTGATGTGACCAGAGCGATTCTCCGTCAGTCATTACATCTGCTCTTCTATACGCCAACTTTTCCACTTCTGGACTTCTTCTTCTGTGCTTTCCATAATTGCACAACGGCATCAATAGTTATAATTCCATTTAGGGCTGCAACTGATGAGTTTATCATTTAACCTGACAAGTATTTTCTCCATTAATCAGTAAAACACACATGCTGTCAGTTTCCTAGAGCCATCTTCTTTTTCTGTCACAGCCCAAAACTCAGTTTAATCTAAAGACAGAAGAAAATGAGCAAATTCTCACATTCGAGAACCTGAAACCAGCAGATTTGTCATTTATGCTTAAAAAATAACTCAAGTAATTTATCAAAATAGTTGTATCTCTAATTTCATTTTAAAAAATCAAGGACATGTTGAGTATTTAAGGAATTTATTGTGATACGCTTTAAACTCCCACCATACAGTTGCTGCTGCTGCTCTCCTGTCAACAGGAACAGTCTGTACAGTCATGCTATTTCACACGTTAGTTACAGTAAACGGCTGTTTCCCTCTCGATATTCAAACTTGTCCACTTCAGCCGAGCATGAAAGCTTTCACTTTTTGTGATATTCCTTCTTTTTATGAATTGTTTTTCCACTCCAGGTTTTTTTGTGCCACCAGAAGAGAAATATTAGTCGGCTCAAATCTCACTGACAGAACAAAACTGCCCCCCCCGTGGAAATCCTAAGTTCAGAGCGGCAGAATCCAGCAGGCCGTACACACTTCAGAGTGGGAGCTCAGATAGGTGTGTTTGATTTATTGACAGGGAAGTGCCAGAGGGCGTGTCTGCAGGAGAGGCCGGGGCTGCAGATAAGGAAAATGGATCACACAGCAAACAGATCTGAAGAAGTGTGGAGCCTGAAGTCAAACTGTTACTAACCCCAAACAGTGGGAGTTAATACATTTAAAAAGAACAGGAACGCTGCCTCGACCTTTCACCCTCTTACAAAACATTAACAGGAAGTGTGTTCGAGGGTCAGTGTTTCATCACTTAGCAACAGCTGATACAAACAGGCAGAATACTTCTTCTATGTTTGGGTTTAAATGGGTCTTAATGTACAGAGTACGTCTGTATTATTTTTGAACTCCGTTCTCCGAAAGAAGAACCTATTTTAACCCTGAGCTGAGCCTCACAGGCTACATGGCCAAAGGTATGTGGACGCTAGAACATTACACTCGTATGAAGGACCTTAACTAATGTCAGTTAATCTGCTGCTGATGTTTTCAGTTCATCAATTTATCGCTTAGTCTACGCAATATCAAAAATAGTTAAAAATAAAACTTCCCAGAGGCCAAGGGGACGTCTCTACTCGTGTGCGACACTGTAACGTGATTTGTGACACCGTGATCATTAAAGCAACATTATTTAGTACTCTTCCTAGTCAGTACTATCGCTGTGTCTTGTGTTGTCGCGCCTGCTTGATGTTTGGCTGTTAGCAAAGTTGGCGACTCACTAGTTTGTATTCATAAGTAATGTGATCATAATAAATGCACGTGGATGACAGTGGTGTATAAGTGAATTGCACTTTGAAACAGGGCACCAAATTGCAAAATATATCAAATCTTGCATAATTTGTTTGTTCTTTACCGCTGAAAATGAGTGCAGAACTGGACGTTTTGTTCCTAAATGATTCCCATTATTTTTCTTAGACATTTTGACTTGCCATTGCAAAAAAAGTTAACATTAATGAAAGTAACCGTAATTATTGCAGCACAATTGTACTACACACTGTAAAAACCTGATAGGCTCATTGAATGAAGAAGCAAATTATGTTTGTTAAAACGTCTTTTCAACTTTAGTTTCACTCCATATTTTTTTTCCCTGGTTCCCCATCCCCCAATTTTAAAATTAAAATCCCAGCGTCTTTGGTTAACAGATCGATCAGGCACTTATTTTGAAGGTTTAGGGAACCCCTAAGCTTTGGGTTGAAGTTGTAAAAGCTGCTTCTGTTGCCAAAAATGCACCAATGCATGCTTTCCCTTATAGTTTGCTTGCTTTGTTAGTGTTCGGTTTTTTCCCCCTGATTCCTGCATGTTTATGGATGGATTTGATTTGTCAACTTCATCATGTGATTGTTGTTTTTGACGTCTCTTCTAAGGACCTTTAGCAGCAGCAGACGAAGAAATAAAGAAAATAAGGAAGAAACTTCAGGCTGCTGTTGTCTCTGGGGACTTTCTTAAACTCTTTTCTTGTTTCTCCTTCCAGATAACGAGTGCGACGCTCCGTCACCTCTCTGTGATCCTCCCTGAACATGATACCCTGATTACAGGCAGAGGGCAGCGAGGGTCTGCAGACAAGACTTTACCCAGCCACACCCATCAACCAGCCGGCTGTTATCACTTCTAAAGTCTCCTGAGTGAGATTTCAGCTTTTAATAGATTGTGAATGACTTGTTTTAACAGATGTTTCCTGCAGTTAAAGCACCAAAAACAACTAAAATACTTTCTGTTGTATCAGAGTTGACAGGCTGGTCATTTATTCCTGTGATCTTTTAGCAGAGTACGACTGAAATCTGTGTTGTTCATGTTTTCCTACCTTCAGAGAAGCAGCAGCAGTGAGGCAGCGAGCAGCAGCAGCTCCGTTATGATCCAGCCTGGGACAGGGTGTGGTGTTTATACACCAGCTGACTCACACACACTCCTCTCTGCCCAATCAGACGGCCCGGATGACTCAGTGGTCGAGACTTTTACACTTACAGACTGAACACATGGACATAAATTCCTCACCGAGGCTCAGATCGCCTCGCCTGTTTCCTGCCTTATTCCAAGGTCAGCAGACAGTAGTGGTTTCTGATTGGTTGGCTGTTGGCAGGTGTCCAGTAAAGTAGTAAACGTGGACATCTGAAAATCAGAGCTCGAGGTATAATAAATTCTGGGTATCCATAGCAACTATACCAATATTTAACACAACATTTAAGTGGTAATCAATGACAAAGTGTGCTGATTGTCTCTCAGGTCACCTGGTCAGTGTCTTCATATGATCCTGCACCTCATGACTTCACCTAACCTGAACCATGCTGTTAATCTCGCCAGACTAAGAGTCAGAATCAGAAATTCATTATTTTATCCCTGAGGGGAACTTGTTGTTACAGTTGCTCACGTTGCTAAACAAAGTATTAAAGAGAGAGCAGCAATAATAATAAAACATGTTGGCAAGTAGAAAATATAAAATCTAACCATATAAATATCTGTCTATATAAAGAGATATAGAAGTTTCTGCTGCCGCACCTCCAGACTGCAGAGCAGCTTTTTCCCCCAGACTCTTAAACTCTAATTCATCCTCAGCACTGCTCCATTGATGATAGTTTATTTCTGTTTACTATTTTTATAATTGCTTCTGTATTAATGTATATTCTCTGCTACGTAGCAGAAGGGAGTTACAGACTCAATTTCCCTCTGTAACCTGTTATATTGTGACAAAATAAATCTACCCACCTCCCTGCCCAGCAGCGCCTTCACCTGCTGAGGCAACTCAGGACTTTTAATGTCAGCAAGGACATTTTAACCCTGTTTACAGGATGCTAATTGAATCCATACTGACCCTTAACATTTTATCTGGGTACAATCAAACACAAACAAAACTAAAACTAATCAGGCCAGCAAAATAACTGGTTCAAAGTCCCACTGGCCCATAGGAACATCTATAAAAAATCTTTTATTCACTCTGCAATTAACACCCCGGACAACGGAGATCATGCTAACATGCTAAAATTTGCAAGTACAGATGAGGCTGATGGAAACGTCGTTAGTTGTAGTAGAAGTACCCTCCATGTTTCAAAGTGTGTTTAAATGTCAGAGGATCAGCGACGTTATTACACTTCATCCTGAGGGGAACATGAAAGTCTGAACCACATTTCATCACAATCCATCCAACAGCTGCTGAGATGTTTCCGTCTGGTCCAAAGAGGACAGAATGAAATATTTTTTAATGTCGTAACTCTGCAACAATGCAGGACTTAGCAAAATTGTTCTTGTCTGGCAGTCGGATTAATTTGGACACCTAGGAGTTCATTCTGTTCACTGACCAAAGGAACAAAAATCTGCTTAAATCCTTCTCCATGTTCGTTATTTTCACGTCAGCTAACTAAAGCATGAGTACTGTTGCTACGGTTACATGCAGTTCAATACACCTTGAGTTCTGACTTATTGTGATGGTGAAACTGTTAAACCTGAACTGTGTTGCAGGACCTCTTAAGAAACCTTTCACTAAGTTTAAACCAAGCAGCAACCTCCGGCTCTTACAAGTGAAGCCAGTGCTGAAGCACCTTAAAGCTGCGTTCTCTCCAGCAGCCAGCAGGGGGCGACTCCAGCGGCTGCAGAAAGAAATGTTTCTACTTGTCAGCTGATTTATTCCCTCAGTAAACACTTTCCTGATGAGTTTATGGTCTCAGTCGCCAGTTTCAAGTCTTCTTCAACACAGCATGATGTTCATTTAGTAAATTATGGTCCCATTTAGAGGAACGTAGACCAGGAAGCAGGGGAGGCTTTAGGGCGGAGCTACAAGCTGATGGCAACCTGTCAATCAGGATAGAGGCGACTCGTATCCGCTGCTCTGTGAACATTTAACCAGCGCCGCTGAAAAAGCTTATCAGGAGTCGGCGGTTTGTTTTTCAGTATGTACGTTTTGTTTTAAGCCTGTTTGTCGCTAGCCAAAATTAGCATCCCTGCTAATATCCCAGTTAACGTGAATTACAGATGCACCTTGCTAACCAAGACCATTGTGCTGTCCAATCAGGAGCGATCACCTATGGAAACAGGAAGTCACTGTAGCATCACAAGCTAGCATAGCTTCCCAAAAGATTCTTCAATCTTTCTACTATTTATTTTTGTCTGCGTACATGAAGAGAAATCTGTATTTCAGAGTTAGTCGTACTCATACAGTTTATAATGAGAGGGAAATATCTCATTTGCTCACTTAGTCAAATGTTATTAATGTAACGTTTCATTATTTGAGGTCTGTTGTGTTATTTTAAGATAAATGTGATTTAAACAGCATTATTAAACATCAAGTTTCAGGTTAAAGATGTTGAGCGTGCTCCATATTACTCTTTAGATATTAGCATGCTAATTATAGCTTTGTCAGTAGGTTCAGTTAGCTAACAGTTTCACCTGGGAGGCAGTGGCTGTAAATATTTAGTGACAACTTCTCTAGGTAAGTGATGTCAGTGATATCTCACTGATGTCACTTCCTGCAGTGACTCACCTGAGGCTGTGGTGGTTGTAAGAGTGGGTCGGGTTCGTTCAGCTAAAATTCCTGTAACTTAATGACCTTGATTCAGATCCATAAAACCCCTCCCCTACTACCTCCTCCACCCCACCACTCCCCCTTTATCACTGGCTGTCTAGATAAATATTAGCAGACCAGTAATTAAAACGGCTCCTTTAGGGCGGCTGTGGCTCAAGAGCGGGTTGCCCGTTAATTAAAGTTTAAGGTTGCCGGTTCAATCCCAGGCTGCATGTCAAAGTGTTCTTGGGCAAGATACTGAAGTGGCGGCTTCAGTATGGTGGCTGTATGATGTTAGTTTCTGTCTGAGCACTGAGCTCAGTGTGTGAATGATGAATGCGATGTAGTGCTCAAAAAGACTAGAAATGTACAATATAGAGCTGTACAAATATGGAGCATTTACATCCTCCAGTCCGACATCTGCTCCCACTGAGCCCCAGTCAGTTAAAGTGAGTTAAAACTCTTAAAACCTTAAACTAATAAAATAATCTCTTTATTTTATACCACATTTCATACATAAAATGCTTTGAAAGCTCAAAGTGCTTTATGTTCATGAGCACTTAAACCAATAAATAAAGCTTAAAATACAGCAGCATGCACAAACACAGGTATTAAAACAGAAAAATGTAGCAGACCGGGCTATAAAATCTAAACACACTTTTATTTATGCATTTATTTACCAGTTAAAAGCAAAAGCATAAAAGTAGGTTTTGAGTTGCTCCTCATCTGGAGGAGAGACGGTAATTACATTACATTACATTTCCTCTGAGCATGGAGGGGCCTACAACTGCATTTCATTGTGCTCTATAATGACAGCAAAACTTAACCTGAACTCGAAGCTGGACCAAATCAGTCAACAAAAGTGAAACCGCTGATGAACTTCAGTACAAATATGTGGATCAAAACAGGAAGTCAGTTCTGTGACAGTCAGATTCAGCTCTTTGACACACAGAGGACTGCTCAGTGTTAAAGCTACTACTGGAGAATCAACAACTTTTATAGAGAGTTTGTGCATGTAACAGATCAGAGATTATAATTTCATAAATGGCATTAGTCCCCTCAGTTAAATTTTTTATATATATATATATATATATCTGATCAATAAAGAGAAACACACATGAGTATCAGAACACGCCAAAACATATCTATCCATTGTTTAGCCTGCACATACTCTTCACGGGCTGACCTGCGTCGACGTGTCCGCTGCCTCATTTCGCTGTGTTGACGAGACCCAACTCTCCAGAAAAGCACAAGTTTGATCACATTTACTCACCACATCAAGGCTTTTGTATCTTTGACTACTTCCTGTTTGGACGGCGTTCAAGCCCATTCTCATTCCCAGGGCGTCAAATTCCTATGCTTTGTCATGTCCTTCGGCGGCTGTTGCCCAGAAACTGGACTTTTACCAAGGAGACCAGTGTGTTCGTTTTCCATGTGAAAGACTTGACCATGAAGCCCTGCACATATAAAAATGACGCTAAACTGAACCCAAGGCGTCAAAGAGCAACCGCAAGGGTTGACTGAGCGTCCATGTGTGACCAGTTGGGATGCGAACGGTTTGGGCGTTTCCAGGCGTCAAATGACATCGGGCATCTAACATAGTGGTTCGTGACACAGTTGATATGTGTTGCGTTACCTACTAATTGTAAGATCGGTGGTTCGATCCCCGGCTCCTCCAGTCTGCAAGTCGAGGTTGCTGCACCAATGTGCCAGTTTACCTCCCGGTTCATGTTAAGGTCAGAAAATACAACATGTTGTCTTGACAATGGACAAAGGACCACAGCCTCCGACCTTAGAGATGCTGAATCTCCTCCTGGCTGCTTCCCATTTGTTTGCAAACTGACCCAGTGTGCTGGATGGAGGTCATGGACTCCATTACATTAACACATAGTCATTTCGCTGACGCTTTTATCCAAAGCGAATTACACTTGCTATATATGTCAGAGGTTGCACGCCACAATGGTGGATCTGTCGCAGTGGAAATTGAACGCAGATCTCCCACATCAACGGTAAGTGTCTTATCCACTGTTCCACTGTTCCACCACCCTCCAGCCAGAACCACACAATCTGCAAAAAAAGCAGATGTGTAATACTGATGTTACAAATCTGGACATTCAACCGCTTCCACGCTCCTTCAGAGAATACAAACAAAGATCTTATTCTGCTAACGTCCCGGTGGTTCGTAGTAACGCCAAAGGGGACACACTCTACGCTGTTTCCACAGAAGCACATGCAGACTGGATGGGCAAACTCCTCTGACCCCTACAGTATCCTTGCAAAACTAAAAGGCTGCAGCTTTTCGTCCATGCACCGTAGTTGTGGTGGTTTCAGCATGTTTCAGCAGGCATCTTCACCAAAGAATGAAAAATATAAAAATAGGTGAACAAGAGGTCAATGTGGTGACAGACAGCTGAATACAGGCTGCAGAGCTCAGTGTTCAGCATTAACCTCTGACTGTTTGGCTCTGATCAGCTGGACTCCGCATTATTTCCCTTTGTTATGTACCACAAAGCTTTTCCACTTAAAGAGGAAACTCCTGCGGACGGAAATGATGTTAATGGTGAATGGAAAGCTCTATTGTTCACAGCAGCAGAAGGACCTGATGATGGACTCTCTCTTTATTTTTAGGAAAATATCTTGAAACCCTGTCATTACAGACTGATTCCTGTTCAGATCAGTAACTTTTCATTTTCCTATAATTCCTTAATATTTCTGCTGCAGTATATTTTTTTGGTCTTCCTCTAATGCTGGCGGCTACATAGAGAATAACTGGGCCGCTGTTGAGTCCAGTTCGCCCATCCCAACAATCGCAGGGGCCACAACAGAGCTGAGCAGGAAGCGTCCCCAGTGTGTTGGGTATCTGTTCTAAAACATATAAAGCTGCTGATTCCCTCTTCTCAGCCTCGAGTTTATCCAGTTTGATTCCCTCCTATTTTGTTCTTCTGCACGAAACACAGCGCACACAAGGTCAACCAGCTGACGACAGCCATGTTTGTTTCCGTCACATTTGATCACATGAGATTCTGTGATATCACAAGTCCCCGAAACCGCCACTCTGAAACCGTTTAGTAGAAACGCAGAGTGTGTGGTCCTTCGTCTGGTGTGTGCGTTCTCAAGATTAAAATGTTAAACGGTTAGTTCTGCCGTTATGTCTGTGGTGTCCCACATTTTTAAAATTGGTTTGAAAAGTTTGAAAATCCTCTAGTGAGCACCAGGCATTAGTGGAGAAAGGAGGCAGCTGTAGAGGATCTCATTTATGAGATTTCAGACAGCATTTTGGCTTTAAATTAAGGTAGAAACTTTTTCAGCAAGATAACCTTTAGTATTTGTCCAGCAATACTGTGTGAAACAAACACACAGACTGCACTTCTGTATTTGTTGGTTAATAATCAGTTTACATGACGTTTCCAGGTAACTGCCGTTGTTTGATGGATGACACACACCAGGTGTTGTGGATCACAGACAGTGATCTCGCTGATGAAGACTGTGTTCCTGCTGAGAGGTGAAGGGGTTTATGCAGTGGTGTAATCCAAAGGAATGTGAACTGGACTTCATGCTACCCTCTCAGGGAGGAACCTCTATCTCAGCCTGTGTTGCTGTGGTAACACAATCAAAAGCTGTAAATAATCAGAGATATGTGAAGTTAAGCGCTGACAATTTTAAAAAAAAGTGGAGGCAGGACAGGAGACAGTGAGGCAATTTGATTGGATGGGAGATGCAAGCAGAAGCGTAAGATCAGACTGTTCTCAAGTTTGGCCACTTGAGAATCAGCTCCATGCTACACACATTTGTAAAACAAAAGAGTTTCCTGTTGTGTGAGGTGTAAAAGCAGTTTGGGGATTAAACCACAGATTGGATGAATAAACGCCGATCAGCCAATGAGCTTGCGTTCTCACAGCAGCAGGTGGATGGAGAAATGCAGCAAGTCAGGGATTATTTTGATCAGTTTCTGTAAATTACAACACGTCCTCAAACCTAAAGGACCAAATTGATTGTCTATTGTCCCAAAACATGTATGAAAGTACCAGCTACTGTAATGTGGCGCAACTTTGATGGGACACTGACCTGAAACAGGGTGAGTGACGTCACTACTGTTGCTGCTCCAGGCCGTCGAAGCTTTCTATGGAGCTATGGAAGACCGAATGGCTGAAGAGACCAAAGTCGTCGTCGAAGGAAGGAAGGAAGAGAAAGACGGGGAGTAACGAGCAAGAGAAATATGGGTCTGTCTTACTCACAGGCGTGAGAACAGATGCCAAGCTGGGCTTTTTTCTGTTGGACTAGGCAGTGATAACTCATTAGCGGCTCGCTGTGGCTTGTTGTTGCTCCTGCTTGACGTCGGCTGTCAGTAATATCGCTGTTGTGAAGTCACATTTCCTTGATGTTTTGTTGTTAGCAAAGTTGGTACGGCTTTTAAGTATTCAAACACGTGGTTAACATTGTGAAACAGTAGTAGTTTAGTTAGTTTTAGGAAAAGCCTGAAGACACACCACACAAGTAACGCTATTTAATTTGAACCGTTCAATAAGTAAATGTTGACTTGGTTTCACACGGGACTCAAACCTCGGCCTGCTGGGTAGCTGTGTTTCACACAGAGCAACGACATGTTCAGTCACAAAGGTCGTGTTCAGGTCTGTAGTAAATGGAGTTACTGTTGGGATGGTTATATGTGAGTCTTATCTATGAGTTTGTTAAAACCCAACTTCTGCCTTCACAGTGAGGTTAAACCGCTCAGAGTTCAGTCAACATAAAGAGTTTATTCAGAAACAGATTTTCTGTTGTTCATGTGAGGTTAGAACAGTGTTCAACATGTGGTGCTGTCTTCTTTCCCCCCGTCCTCTCTCTTCCTTCATTCATTCAAGGTTTATTGTTGGGTTTTTCACTCACAGTTGAAATTAATTTACACTTTTAATGCAGGAGTCTTGCCTGTAAAAGAGTTTTCTGGAGTTTTGAGCTGTTTAACTGCTCACACTAAAGACTGTGGGTACTTCTTGTACCACAGCTCAGAATACAGTTACAAACTGTGACAAACAAATAACCTCATGGAGGTCTGAATCAGCCGCGACTGATTCAGACCACATGACTTCTACTGCAGACACACTGTTGTACTTTACAGCTTCTCCACAGGAGGGCGGTGTGAGCTCATATTCACCGCTGACTATGAAGTCTTCATGATGTGAGAGTTATTACGACAAGTCCAATTAAACCCAGTGTTTTAAAACATTTAATTAAGTAAATACAGAATTTTAATCTGGTCATTAACCTTTGCAGGGGGGAAGAAAATACTAGGGTGCCAGATCCTCATTTTACATCTGCAGAAAAGTAGAAACCTTTACAAGAAAAGGTGTAGGGAAGGAAAGAAACAAGGATGTAGGAAGGAGGAGGAGGAGGCATAATGCATCCTTCTCCCTCCATGTGTGTCTGAACAGGAAACAAACTACAGAGAACTAGAAGATTTAAAACTGGATAACTCTTGATGATATTAGGGGTCTTGAGAGGTTTGGGTCTGAAGTGTCCTCAGGTCTGTGATCTGGCTCAGGTAGCTGAAGTACCTGAGCGCCAATCCTCTGTTTCGCTGACGCTGGACTTAACCTCGTTAGCAGCTAATCCTCCTCAGGGCCACATTAACAGCTTTAACCTGGAGCTGCTGCAATATGCTCCCAGCTGAGAGGCTGGCACACAAATGGCAAACAAGACACTCTGCAGGTCCACGGCCCACAGCAAGCTGTATATAGGGCAAGAGATGAGATAACTGCAAATGTACAGAAAAAGTCAGCGTGGACAATTTAATCAAAATGAGAAGCTTTAGTACATGCATTCTGCTGGAATATATTAAAGAATTAAAAATGTAAATACAACAATGACAGTTTAAAAATAAGTCAAAGTCTCTTCTTATTTTGAGTGTGAGGCAGTGAGAAGTACGGTTTGGTATCAAGAACCGGTTCCAAGTTGAAACCGTTACCAAGTCTCCAAGAACCGGTTCGATAAGATGTAACTTTATTAACCCCCCGTAGGGGAAATTTCGGTCGACATAGCAGCACAAACCGATGCAGTATTGATAGTACAGACCCGTCCGTTTGGATTCTGCTTCTCGGTTCCTATGTTCCTGCATATCTCAGCTCCTGACTGAACTGCAGTGAGCATTTCACAGTCCATAAAAGTGTCTCTTATCTGCATGGAGCTGCTACGCCGTCCTAATCTAATGCCATTTGTTACGCAGTAGGTCAACAAAGCAAGAAGAACAGAGTCCTTCTGTTTCTATTCCTGGACCATGGCGGACCGCAGCTCTTTGAAGGTGCTGACCATGAACCCCTGTTCACGTCAGACCGGGGACCTTTGCAGATCGTTCAGTGGAGGGCCCAATGTGAGAGAGTTCCTGCTGCTTTCTGTCTTATGTAAAGTACCTTGTGTTCCAGCTGCTGAGCCCAGTCAGTCATCAGTCACATCATCAAGGCTGAAGCTTCAATCCAATTTCAACATTAACAACACTGGGCTGTCCGATCCCTCCAAACCCAAACAACAACTGCTGATCCTCTGCAGGAACACAAAGCTCACGAGTAAGCACTGTTTATTGATTCACAATAATGAACTAATCTTTACTCTATATGCTTTCTTAAACTCAAATTAATTCAACTTAAAACATCTTTTATCTTCAGACCATTTCAGAAATAAATAGATTAGAAAAATGAGCAGAATACAACTTTACTGTCCAGCCGACCTTTAAAAACATCACTACATAAACAAACGTATAAACTTGAGTTCTTCTGACTGGAAATCTTTTGACTGAGTAGAGTGAATGAACAGCTGAGAGGGGCTATATGTAGTTTCTTAATGAAATGAATCCCCTTTATACTGCCTGTTTGTAAGCGGGTTGTAACAGCACACCAAAACTTAAATATTTGCCGGCTTTCTTGGTTACCTCCGGCCTCTTGGCTGCTTCCTATGTAATGAAATTAAACCAAATCCATTGGTTTAAGTGGGCTGTGATGTTCATGCCCGAGCCCGTAGACACAGCGACAACCCTGCAGCTCGTGACATGGAGTCCACAAAAGAAGCTGCTCTCATTCCCAGAGCATCAATTAGCTAGCGCACATGGCAACCTTTCGCGTGATACCAGACTTGGGAAGCCCTTTAGCGCCATTGTTCAACACTAAGGGTAGGCCTGTAAATAACAGAAAAGTCAGAGTAAGGAGGTGCTTGGGGTGGATGGAAGGATGGTTTTAAACCCAGACTTTCACCCCGGAGACCTGTGTTTGTGTGAAACACTGAAATACTCAACATTGATTAATTTTAGTGATCGTGGGTAACTTACATATGTAGCATTACGTAACTTATGTATTTTAAGTCATTTAAGTAACGTAGTTATTTTAAGCAAACCACATTCTTTTCCTAAACCTAACCAAGTTGTTTCAGAGCCTAAACCTAACCAAACTTCACACTAGTTTTATTTTGAAAGTCTAACCGGACGTTGCGTATTTATTCTTGTTAACTTGACTACAAGAGTGACGTTAAAGGGTACCAAGGGCATTAAAAAGCAACCCCAGGTGGTCTAGACCAAGCGTCCATATTTGGCGAGTTGGGATGAGAACGGGTTGGCTAACACCAAAAAACAACCGGCTCCCATCACAACACAGACTCCACGTAAGGATAAAAAACTATATGTAAAATGTATGTTATGTAATGAGTCTATGAATGGGTGAGAGCATATTTCCTAAGAGGCAAGGATGGAACGTGGATGTCCATGTTCAGAGAGACCATGTTTTAATCTAGCGTTGACTGTGAATATGGTCAATTAAGTAATTGTAGAATTAAAAAATTTTCAGTACAATTTTTTATTAATATATAACGTGTGTTTTTGTGTTTCTCATATGTGTTTTTACGTCTCATGTAAAAACCATGACTGCTTTGTGCTAAGCTAGGCTAAACATAGACCTTCCTCGCTGATGCTCATCTTCTCATATGACAGGAAATTAGAGGATTTATCTTAAACGTTCCTTCTGGTCAGTCTTCTGGCTTTCTCTCATCTAACATGAACCATGGACCGCGGTTCAGTTTATGCTGCAGGATCCCTTCATGTTTCAGCTTTTGGGAGTCTAATCTGAGCCCCCGTCCCGTCCTGTTCTGTCTCGCTCTGCCCTTCACTTCCTCAGTAATCCTGTTAGGAGAGTT